TCTACCCTCATTGACCATTTATTTAGGCATACTTACTATATACTGTGCCATATACTATGCAAAAGTCAAAGGCCACCATTCATTTAACTCATTTGCTGTCATTTTTTAGCATGAAATATATATTTTGTAATCAAAACGTTACACAGAAGACTGAACAAAGTGTAATGCCTTGTTTTCCAGTATCCAGTGTGTCACTCTCTACCTTTATTACAGCTTCCATTCTCACTTTCAGTTTCTTACAGAAATCTGCAGACACACCTCCAAAGTTCAGTCTTAGAAGTTGGTTGATCATTTTCTGAAGTGATCAAACACATTCAGTGATGTTGAGGTCTGGACTCCGGGGTGGTCAGTCCATTGTTCAGCTTCTTTGTTTGATGCATCTGTCTCCTTTTCTCAGCGAGGCTTCTTGAACAGCTACACATCCTTTCAGACCCATAGCGCTGAGTTGTCTTCTCACAGTGGAAGGATGGACAGAAACACCTGTGGATGTTTTCAGATCTGAAGCAGCTTGATTTTCTCCTCTCTCTCAAAGATGAAAACTTTAAGTGCCGTTTATCTGATGGGGACAGTGTTGCTGTCTACCAGGTCTTCCAGGTGGTTGTTAGGCATTATTTTCTCTGTAGCTTTAAACTCCTTTCCTTCCTTTTTTTCTCCTTTCTTTCTTCCTCCTTATGTGCATGAATTATCTTGTATCTAATCTCCTGATGATATTTTAAAAATGAGTAACTTGTACTTATTAGCTGTTTTGACAGGAAGCAGAATGAATAAAGAGGGTTTAAGATGGTAGCCCGTATTAATGAAAACTAACACCCACCCTCTGCAATGAAAGCAGAAAAATACAAGCTAAACCTTCCTCACAGTCTAACCCTGAAACAGCACTAAGGGCTGGTTTATTGCACTACTTTCTGTAACTGAGGGACCAGGTCCACTGAACGTGTCCTTTAGCCTCTAAATAAACTCATTTAACCTTTCTGGTCTCTCTTTCTCTCTCTCACACATGTACACCAGAGAAAGCCCCTGGCTACATCGTCAGAACAAAGCCTGAGCTGAAGTACAGCCTGTATAGTGTTGTCTGATCCGATACTCAGTAGTGTTATTGTCGCTTTATGCTAGGTGATTTTAGTAGTGGTGGGACGGTTGTAGAAAAAAAAGGACATAGCTGATTTGCTAAAGAGCTGTCAGAATTTAATTATTGTACAACTATCAATTAAAACTCTAACTAAATTAAAAGTAGATTGTTGTTTCATTTAGTTACAATGGAGAAGATCTTAAAAAGATGGGTTCTTTAGTAAAGACAGTGGTTCTACAGAGAAACACAAACATTCAAAGAACAATTTGCATGATGAAATCGTTCCTCAGATTAATGTAGAACATGTTGTATGTGGTTCTATATGGAATCTTTTTAAGAATGGTTCTTTATAGAACCAAAAAGGGTTCTGCTATTAAGCTTGGAACACTATGAACCTTTTTTGGTGCTATATAGAACCATTTACAACACACATTCTATCAATCTGTTGAACCATTTCACCATGCATAGAACAATTTAAGCACGCAAAAGGTTCTTTGAGTGTTTATGGTTCTCTATAGAACCTTTAATAAGCCCTATTTTTAATTCCCAGGCTAGTTACATACTAAGGCTTATTATTCAGTAACTACAGGGACTTCCATGCAAACTGGTTGAGCTATTCTTAGGTTATGGAAGTGTGTAATAAAACCCTGACCATTTAAGAGGTTAATAGTGTATTATGATTGTTCGTTTCCATAGTACCGTGTGCCATAACAGTTATTAATAATCCTTCCTTTTTCTTTTAATTAGTTATATTTAGCATTATTAAGGTGTTTATAGCAACAAGCAGATCAGTCAGATCATTCTTTTTTAGAAGAATTGCAGTGACACAATGGGAAAAAATGCCATTGTAACAGGCAACAAAACTGAATTGCTGTACTGAATATGTATGATATTGTAGCGTGTTTGAGAAATGTTCTGCATGATTAGTCTAGGTATTGTACTGCTCCTGCAATTATTTTCTGGGTTTCATTCTGACAAACACTCTTCATATGAAGGCCTTTGAGGGAATGCGTGTCAGATCAAAGAGAAAGAACTGGTCAGTCGAGAGCTTGAAGCGAGAAAGTGCAGACATGAGCTGTGTGTAGAGCGAGCTGTTAGCCAAAAGCCGTGCTTAGTGTGTGGCGTGGCTGTGGCTGTTAATAAAGCAAAGCAATCTGAGCAGCTTTTTCTACTTTAATAACGAAAAAATGCTACAATATTATTATTCCTGTTGTGTTTCTGTTTTAACCCCTTTCACAGGCCTCCTAGTGGCGATTTTGGTGGTAGAGTGGACATCAAATAATCTGATCTTTTTATTTATTTGAGGATGAGTGTAAGTGTACTTTGTTTTCTATCCCATCTCCAATAACTTCCAGACTGTCTGAAGTAACAGGTGGGGTTAATATACTGTAGGATGAATGGGTGGTCTCAATAATGTTCATTGTTGTGACATCACAGCCTCAATGAATGCTGATTTTGCAAGTTTAATGTCCGTATATGCATGGACTGGAAAATGAACGGAACATTTTGAAACTTTCATATGCACTATGTATGCAAATGAGTCCATGGTTGTGACATCACAGCAACTAGACTGAATCCACTATTTTTGAAGCTGAGTTTTAGGGACTGCAGTTTAAAAAGGGTTTCTTTGTGTTTACTTGATTCAATCGTGTGCAGTGTTTCCATACGAACAAAGAATGTGACATTAACACAGTTCTTACAGTCGAATGGAAAACCCAATTAAATTGAACAACAGTGATTGTGTTGATGTTGATATATTTCATTCATATGGAACTAACGTATGTATTTGATTCAAGTTCAATCAAAGCAACATTTGAATGTGAGGAGTCAAAACAAATGATGAAAAATGTGGTTTTCCACGAAATGCGCCCTTTATAAAGTCACCACAACCCAATATTTCGCAACACTGGGAGATAAAGAGAGAACATTGCACCCAATGGGACTAAAACCACATTATGGGGGGAGTCTACAGCTTACAGGTGGTGAGAGATCATGTCCTACACAGATGGTGCGAGAGAAAAAGGAGCAGAGAGCTGGACATGTAGGTAAAAGCGGGAGTAAAAGCGGGAGTAAAAGAAGGAGTAAAAGAAGGAGTAAAAGAGGGAGTAAAAGTGAATAAATCAGCCGAAGCCCCTCTGAGACCCGGTCCGGCCTGGGCGCTTCAGAACAAACACTGAAGAAAAGCTCCAGACTGAGATAAGAGATACTTCAGAAGGACTTTTTCAGACGTGAAGTTTATGCAAGCCTCTCTGGCCCAGATGCTCTCTCCCTCCCACCGAAACGCAGAGACCACCTTTGATTTATAAAGCATGCCCGTGCTCTGTGGAGTCTTACACAACAGAGGTGAGATCAGATCAGATCAGATCAGACGGGCTGCGAGCGAGAAAGAACGAGCAACTAAAGCACAACTGCTTCAGCTGTTGCACACAGGAGAGAGAGGGGAGTGGTTGTCTTTCAGAAAGCTGAAGGTCTTTACTGAACTCCAGACTCAAACACAGCTCTCACTGACAGCTCAGCTGAGTTTAACCTCCAGTCACACAACCGATCAGAAGGTCTGCCAAATTATGCCTTCGCTGGACGACAACAACAACAATAATAATAACAATAATAATAATTACAATTATCATGATAACAACAGTACAGCTGTAACAAAACAACAACTACAATGACAACAAGAATAAAATACCACCACCACCACCATTAACAACAGCAATGATAATAATAATCATCATCATCATCATCATCATCGTTATTATTATTATATGAATGCAAATTGTTGTTTTTTTTGTTGGAAAATACTCAGTAGTAATTTAATAAATAGGTTTAGGTTCCTTAATATAATAATAATAATAATAATAATAATAATAATAATAATAATAATAAACTTATAGATATAGTAATAAACAATATAGATTGTGTATATTGTTGATTAATTGATACAGACACTGTTTGAGTGAAATAAACCTTTCACTATATTTTTGAGTGTTAAACAGTCCCAGCAGCCGCCACTCAGAGGCGCTCATGTTCACACTAAACTCTTTTTCTATGGACTCTAAATTTCACTGTTTTTACTCAGAAACACAAGCATTGAGCGCCATCTAGTGACCAAACAGCCATATAAATATTACACAGAGAAAGAGAGAGAAAGAAAGTGAGACAGAGAAAGAAATGAGAGAAAGAGAGAGGGAGAAAAAATGGAGAGAAGAAAACGTCATAGAAATAGAAAGAGAGAGATATGGAGAGACAGCAAAAAGAAAAGAGAGAAGAGAGAGTCAAAGAAAGGAAAAGAGAGAAAGAGAGAGCGAGAGAGAGAGAAAGGGAGAGACAGGGAGGGAGAGAGAGAGAAAAAAGAAAGAAAGAAAGAAAGAAAGAAAGAAAGAAAAAAGAACTAAGATAGACAGAGAAGGAGAGAGAAAGAAAGAGGGAGAAAAAAGAGAGAGAGAAGAAAAAGTCATAGAAATGGAGAAAAGGAGAGAGAGCAAAAAGTAAAAAGAGAAGAGAGGGTCATAGAAAGGAAAAGAGAGAAAGAAAGAGCGCAAGAGGAAGACAGAGAGTGAATGAGTGAAAGAAGAAAACAAGAAGAAAGAATAAACAGAAACTAAGAGAGACAGAAAGAGAGAGAGAGGAAAATGTCATATAAAGAAAAAGAGAAATGGAGAGAGCAAAAAGAAGTAAGAGAGAGGAGAGAGTCATTGAAAAGAAAAGACACAGAAAAGAGAAAGAAGGAAAGACTGAGAGAGGGAGAGAGAGAAAGAAAGAGAGAGACTAAACTAATAGTGTTGCCAGTTAAGCAGCAATGTATTTTGTTTGTTGTTTATAAACAGTTATTTATATTTTTGTTTGTGTTGTGCCGGTTAGGGCCCAGCAACAAGACCCCCCACCCCCATCTAAGAGCGTAGCTTCACCGTTGAGTATAAGTGATGGACACCAGTCTCTGTTTAAGGCACTTTATTTGTGAGCTTTGAGAGATTTACTGGAGAGATTAACTGGATCATTACGTTGTTACTCTCATTCTGAAGATTCAAACATGAATCATTAGTATTTTTCTTCAGTCAAACCAAAGAGCCTCTTCTCCTCTTCCTTCTGTCCTCCTCTCCTCTGCAGGTGATCACAAGCACATGTTGATCTCAGAAGGCAGAGAATTAGGGTTTGTTTTGTAGGTTTCCATGCTGGGCTCTGAGGAAAACATGATACATAATGATTATTTCTGTAATTTCATTAGTGCACAGCTCCTGGTCTGAAACATTCACAGCATACTGTAAACAGCCCTGACCCTCTGATAGCACTCTTCATCCACACACCCAGTCCCAAAACTGTACTCCTTTCAACCCTAATGACTTTATTATCAAGATAGAAATATAATGAGACTTTTACTGTTAAGATGGAACTCCCTGCTCCTTTCACTGAAGATGTTGGTTCAGATGTGTCAGGAGTTTTCGGACCACCTTAGACATCTTAACGTATTAACGTCACACTCACATACTCAAAACAGAGGTCTGGCTGGATGTTTAGGCCTCTAATCAAAATTATACTGGTGAAGATATGATGATAATAGTAAATAATTTACTCACAACATCAGAAAACATTCTCTCAATACTCTTTCAACACACTCACAATTAGGGCTGGGTACAGAAATTCGATACCAAAAAGGCACCGACTGAAGCATCTTGGTACTACCGAGTACCGAAAAGTCTAAAAAAAATCTGTGCCTATTTTCGTTACTTTGCGTAAAACACAAATCACGAAGGATTATTAGAGTTAACCTTACTTCTAATGCAAAAAGAAAAGAAAAGAAAAAAAAAAAGAAAGTACATACATACATACATATACATCATCTAAACCGCTTATCCTTCTGGGTCACGGTGGGGTGCTGGAGCCTATCCCAGCTGTCATTGGGCGGAAAAGAAAGTACACAACTGGCTAAACGTGTCAAAGAGGTCGAAAGTCTGGCTCTACTTTGAAAAGGTCACTGAGAGCAGTTCCAGGTGCAACAAGTGCCTTAAGATAGTGACTTCCGAAATGCGTAATACGTCAAATTCTGATAAAACATCTGATTACACATGGAATTAATCTCCATCAAGAAACGGAGATGAGACAATCTGGGCTAAATGTATTACCGCCACACACAGACACCAGTGTTTCCGGTGATTAAATATCATCAAGTAAGCTGACGGTTTACTGTGCCCCTTTCTCGCTTTGCCAGAGAAAGCCATGCCGTTTGTTACCGTGCCGTTGGTTAGTGCTGAAAGTCAGTTAGGATTTAGCTAATGTTAGCATGAAACTAGAATGTATTAGCTAGCCAGCTGGCTAGAGTTCAGCCGCCATATGAACACATCTGTAACGTTGTTACAATTCATGTTCTGTAGGATTCATAAATGAGCCCTATTAACTTGTATGTCATTTTCATGTTGTAGGTGAGGGCTTTGACAGTGCTAGGGCCAGTTTACCAGTTCTACTCACGCTAATGCTAATGCTAATGCTAATTAACCACTGCTCCACCTGTATTTTCCCATCTTGTATTCTAATATTTTACACTAACGCTGTTTGCTATCCGGTGTCGACCAGAGGAGGATGGGTTCCCCTTTTGAGTCTTGGTTCCTCTTAAGGTTTCTCCCTGGACCTGGATTTTTCTGTAAAGCTGCTTTGTGACAACACCTGTTGTAAAAAGCTCTATATAAATAAACTTTGACTTCACTTGACTTAATGCGGATGGCCTTCCAATGTAGCAGAAAAGCTAAGGATGTCAGCTGAAAGAAGGAAAGAACACCACAGAGAAGTAGGAGAGAGCTAGCATTCCACTAGAGAAGGCTGACATGCTCATATTTCTAAAAAAGAACTCTTCAAAACTGAACTGCAACCAGGAATATGCAGCGGAAAAAAAGCATAAAGCAGCACAAACATGCCCATTGTTTGTTTGCTCCAGCAAAATCTAAATAAAAACCTCTCATAGTGACAATATGAGAGATTTTTTGTCACAATTAGAAAAAGGTATCGAAAAAAGCATCATTTTGCTATCGATATCAAATTGAAAGTATTGTATCAGTATCAGTATCCAACATTTTCAAACGATACCCAGCCCTACTCACAATCATCCACTTGGGGAAGTCTGAGAAGTGTGATGAAACCTAGCATGCCTAGGCTAACCATGATAGTTGAAGTCAGAAAATAGAGTTTTCCTCTCTCAGAGTTACCTCAACAAACCAACAGGTTTCATCATCCACTGAGCAGAAAGTAAGTTACCTCATGTAGAAGATGACAGCTGCCTCATCTAACATTAAACTGTTAGATCTAGCATTAGCTCATCTACTGACTCAGTCCACTGTGGTTAAGTTTGCCCTTAGCTTTGGGATGACCAAAAAAAAATACCATGCATTCAGATAAGTGCCTATGGAAAGTATCAGGTCTGTGCAGAAACTTCCAGAAAACTCTAAGCAGAGGCCTTCAAGTGAACCTTTGAAACTTAAGCCACAAGTAGGCAATTGTATAAACAGGCGGAGGTGGGAACAAGTCACCTCCAAGTTGCAAGTAACAAGTCTCAAGTCTTCACTCTCAAGTCCCAAGTCAAGGTAGTCGAGTCTCGATTCAAGTCCTGAGTCAGTACAGGCGAGTCTCAAGTCGAGTCAATAGTCCTAGTCTTCGAGTCAGTATGTATTCCTCAGCCAATTTAAGGCCATAACACTGAATAATGCTAACAGTACTATAGCCTTTTAATGACAGCACGTTAGCAGTGTATGACTGTATATTACATTTTTGTGAATATCACTGATCTTCTTAAAAGATCCAAAGTTTCTAAAACAAAGCAAAATTAATTCACAGAAACAGGTCTAAACAAGAAAAGTCTTACGATTCTTCTTAAGAATAGAGACCCAGAATTATTTAAAACAAAACAAGAATTTATTTATAAAAACACGTCTAAAAAGAAAGTCTTATGATTCTTTTTAAAAAGAGGGAAACATCCAGAATTTCTTAGAAACTCAGTAAGTTCATTAACAGGCTACAAGCCGTGCTCTGTAGTCTGCAGTGATTGCAGTGATAGCAGATAGTGACAGTGATAGCAGAGGAGGGTAAAGTGGTTGGTATAGCGTAGTGGGTAACACCTCTGCCTTCTACGCTGTAGACAGGGGTTCAGTCCCCGTCTGGGTAAGCACCCTACACTATACCAATAAGAGTCCTTGGGCAAGACTTCTAACACTACCTTCGCCTACCTGTGTGAAATGATCAAACTGTAAGTTGCTCTGGATAAGAGCGTCTGCCAAATGCTGTAAACATGAAAGTAAAGTTCAGTAATCTCACTGCAGGGCTTTAGTTACATTTAGGGCATCATATGCCTTCAAAGACAGGGATACAACAATGATGTATTATCTTCCACCCCTAATTCTTTGGTGATATGAAGCTAAAGTCAGATATTCACCAGCTTCTTGTTTGAATTTTCCTGTTCCACCTTACTTAATTACTTAAAACAAAACAAGAATTCATTTATAAAAACACGTCTACAAAGAAAAGTCTTCTGATTCTTTTGAAAAAGAGAGAAACATCTAGAATTTCTTAGAGACTCAGTAAGCTCATTCCTTAATCATGGACCCAATACACTAAAAGCATGGTCACCCATGAAGCAGAACTTTGAATGTGGAACTACCAGCAGATCTGAGGATCCAGACCTCAGCAAAACTGTAGCCTGAGACTGAGGAAGTAAAAGATCCTGCAAATATGCTGGACCTTGGGCATGTAAACATTTCTAAACCAAAAGTAAAATTTTGAAATGAATTCTCTTAACTTAACTCTCTTAACACTCACCTTCATAGCACCTAGGAATCTGCAGGACTCTGTCGAAGCACTGGGTTGTTGCAGGATAACCACAATTCCGCTCCTTATTCAGACAGTACACAGCTATCTCCTCAGAGTGAAGGACCTGGTTGGGCTTGAAATTTTCAATCCAGATTTTTTGACCTTTGTATAAGATGCGTCCCACTTTAATGTCAACAGTGCAAGGAGCTGACAGCAAAAGAAAAGGAAAATTTAAATTAGGGCTGATGCGATTATGCAATTAAAACTAAATACTCAATTAAAATATTCACTAATTTGTTCTAAATAATAGGCAGGGTATTCTCTAGTTGGCAAGTGGAAGACTCTCCACAAGAGGGCACTACTACTATTATTCAAATCACTTTTGTGTTCATTACTGAAAGAGAGGAAACCCACACCAGCAGGATCTCACAAATGCACATGATTGTAATGGCAAATTTCATTTATATTACATAAAATTAAATGTTTGCTGTTATGAAGTAATATGAAGGAAAAGTAAAAATTGTATGTGAAGTAAAGAGTTTTGTTTAACATAGTTTAGACTGAACGACGTAGCAGACAGCTAACAGGCTAATAGGCTAGTCTTATAACATGTTGTCAGGATTTACTAAAAAAAAAGCAACATTTGAAATAAAGAATGAACCAATTGAATGTCTGTAATAGACTTAAAATGCTTCAAAGTTTAATGAGAGCTGGCCTGTGCAGTGTTACTCCCTTTAAATGTAGACCACCGTTAGCTTGATGCAAACAAAACATTTAAATTGAAATAATGAGGATTTCATTGTAGAAAAACCTTCAGTCTGATGGACACAACAAAGTGAAACGTTACATGCAGTAAATGCAGTGTTTAAAGGAAAAAGCAAAGCAACTTGAAACTGTTGGCTAGCACATAGTAGCACATAGCGCACTTGCTATTACAGCTAAAGCTGCCAGCCAATCTAACTGAAGTTTTAATACATTACAGATCACATTTCTTTAAAACGTACTAAAGATGAATTAATTATTGCCCTAGCTAGCTAGTTTACATGCTTTAAAACTACAGTCTAACTGACCTTTTCGAGTTGTTTTCAGTGTCTTCAGGTCAGTTATGCCCTGTTTGAAGCTGTGTTGAATCTGACAGGTTTTTAGTAGAGTTTGTTTGCAGTTAGAAACAAGACTAAACTAAAATCTGAGACTCAGGTCAGACTTGTGAACATCACTGCCACATATATAATATATGGTCAACAGTGGTCCTGTGGTCAGACCTAACAGTGAAAATAGAAGGTAGGTCATAAAGGCAGGTGTTTCTCTGATCACAATTACAGAGACGTTTGGATGTTTGACTGCAGTACCTCTGCAGACGGGCTTTCTGGACCAAAAACCCGTTTCTTCACACTCAACCTCCATCGGCCCGTCCAGCACAAACGGATCTATGCAGCCATACCTCACTCTCTCCTTATAGCCGTACTCTCTCTGGGCAGCGAATGACAGAAAGCCGTTCTCTATGTTGGTGGGCACAGGACACAGCACCACTGGACGAAACAAAGAGAGATATATTGTAAAACTATGTCATTGTGTACAGTCAGAGTTTCCTGTCTGCTGCTGTTTTCCATCACCGAATAAAAGCGAGTATGTAATGTACAATGTAAATAAATATATACACATAAATACATAAATACATACATAAACATCTATCTATCTATCTATCTATCTATCTATCTATCTATCTATCTATCTATCTATCTATCTATCTATCTAATCCGTCCGTCCGTCTATCTATCTATCTATCTATCTATCTACCTGTCTGTCTGTCTTTTTATCTATCTGTCTGTCTGTCTGTCTCACTCTCTGTCTGTCTGTTTGTCTTTCTGCCTGTCTACCTGTCTTTCTCTCTATCTGTCTGTTTGTCTTTCTGTCTGTTTGTCTACTGTCTTTCTTTCTGTCTGTCTGTTTGTCTTTCTATGTATCTGTCTGTCTGTTTGTCTTTCTGTCTCTCTATCTGTCTTTCTATCTATCTGTCTATCTGTTTGTCTTTCTATCTGCCTGTCTGTTTTTATTTCTGTCTGTCTATCTGTCTTTCTGTCTGTTTGTCTATCTGTTTGTCTTTCGATCTGTCTGTATGTTTGGCTTCCTGTCTATCTATCTATCTATCTATCTATCTATCTATCTATCTGTGCTTTTGTTTACTACAGTTTCACAGTGATTGATGGTGTTCATTGACTCTTCTCTGGTGATTTCTTATTCTGTACTCTACCTCTGGTCCAGAATAAAAAGGTCAGTTCTAGCTGTGTCTTACGCCTGCACTCTGGTGGGTCAGTCCAGAAGCCATCGGCCCCACAGGTCGCTCTTTTGTTGCCGAAGAGAACCATCGGAGGTCGGCACTGATACTCCCCTCCAAAACCAAAATTTGTGACGTTCCCTTTAAACGGCCGGTCGTACACTATTTTAGCGTAAGGTGGAATATGAGGAAGACCACAAGTAACAGCTGGAGGAAAAGAAAAGAGACAAACAGGATCATAATATGTTGCTGGGTAACTGCTATACTACTGCTCAGACGTTTGGAATCACCATTCAAAAAAATACAGTTAATGTTCTCAATGATATGGTAGCGTCAGCAGAAGAAGAAACACGGGGTCTTCTTTTTTTTTACATTAGTGGTCATTGTTATTAGTTAGTGACTAATTTTACAGTACATCAGTAAATAATATAATAATATTTAGCAACTTCTAATAACTTAAAAAATACTTTTAATAACACCCTGAATTATACACTTTGGTGATGATTTTTTCATGTTTAAATCTACAACTGCATAAACAATTACAGCAATAATAAAGACTAGTGATTCCAAACTTTTGAACAGTATATTTCTTGTTTCATATTGTTCCAATCAGAAGAAACATACGTTCGCACTCTGGAGGAGGATTGCTCCACCGGCTGGTGTGTAAACACTCGCTGGACCTGGCACCACGCAGGATGAACCTGACAAACAAATACAAACACTAGTGCACTGTTAGATTAACATTTAAAGCACAGGTCAAGACCAGAGGACACTGCCAGCCTGCTTTCTCTCTTCAACACCCGCACAAGCTGAGTTTTAATCTGCCTAGAAAGGAGGAAACGCTTTTAATCATATTCAGGATATTTGAGATGTAGATTTGTTCCACAAATGTAATTATGTTTCACCGTTTAACAGTTTCACAGGGTTTAAATCATTTGAGAAGGCTTACAGTCACACGTAACAGTTTACACAACATCAATTTGAATTACTTTTTAATACATTTGATTTGTGAAAGCAGAGCAACTGTGTTCATTTGTAAAAAGAAGAATGTTTACCCTTCGTCACAGGAGTACGTGATGGTACTTTTGTAGACAATGTTGTCGAAATGCGCATTTCCGTTCTCGGGCGGGTCCGGAACAGGACATCGTTTTGCTGTGCGAAAGATTGGACAGGGGTCACAAGGTCAGCTGCTTTTGTTTGACACTAATCTGATGTTGGTAATCTTAATGGCCTTTATTCATTAATGTTGCATAAAAACCAAGTGTTCTGAATGATGTGTGAACTACTGAGTGTCTGATTTACGTCGAAACCAGCAGTGATTTGAGCGCAGTTGATGAAACGGCTTCAGTGCATGGAAGCAAATACCCCTATACCAGTGCTTTATTTACATATCAACGGCAAAGGACCCACCTTAATTTGCCCTTAGAATCATAAAACCTATACTAATCCCTTAATATCTCAGGCTTATTACATATTAAAGCAATTTGCCACAAGAGGCCATGCATAACTGCGATTTTATCACAGGGAAGGGTGTTTTTAGGCACAATGTGACATGGAGTACCTAAAACTCCCTCCCCCGTAATAAAATCACTGTAATGCACAACCTCAAGTGGCTTATTGTTTTTATAATATAGCGGCCAACATAAAAAATAATAAAATACACAATTTTTCAGAAAATAATTTAAGTTATTATTAATAATATTTGACACAAACAAGTATAGTATTGTTGCCAAGCAACCATGGACTGCTTAATAAGAACGTTTGGTCGCCCATTGTTGTATAGTGTGGTCATTTAATGATTTTTTAAAACTTTTTGTCATATAATAATGAACACAGCACTGTTTAATGCAAAAACTGTAGCTTTGTAAGTATTTTTGGTCACCGGATTACCACCGCGAGTCTTATTTAGCACCAATCCAGCGGCGCCCCTCTTCTCACACTCAGGCTGAATCTCAAATGGCTCCCTGCTCCCTACATAGTGCACTATGTAGGAATTTAAATACTGGATCCTGAACCACAATGGTGCAAATATAGCCAAGAAATAGTCATTTGGGACTCCATTCAAGTGACATTTTTAGACTTTTATGCTGTAGTTTTACAGTTAATCATACCGTAAGCACTTTGATTAAAGCCTGTGATAATAGTGATGGGGTTGTTTAGCCTGTTAGCTAACTGATCAGCCTAATTCTAGTTAAGAACATAAGTTTCCAGCCGCTCAGTTTAAACAAAAAACAGGTTCTTCCTTCATCAGAGGCGGTCATGAGCGTACATGGTAAATTTACAGTGGCTTTAAACGCAGCTCAGCTAATCAGATTTTAGGACCAGAGCTAACGGTTTTATAATAAGGCTTATTATTCAGTAACTAAAGGGACTCCAATGCAAACTGGTTGAGCTATTCTTAAGTTATAGGAGTGTGTAATAAACCCCTACTAGGGGTTTACCGTTCAAACGTTTCGTGAGCCAATAAAAAGAAAGCATTCTGCAGGCTCATAAAACAGTGGTTGTCCTCGCTGATGGAGGGTTGTGTGGGCCAGAGCTTAAAGAACTTCATAGTATTCACAGGGCCCATTTCATGGAAAACTTGATTTTCTTAACTTTTTAAAATAAATATGTAGTGTTTAAACACTGTTATCATAGCATACTGTTCACTCCCCTGTCCATACAGTCCGTATAATAAACTAACTTACAGTTACACTACAAAGCCCACCCTCTTTGGACACAATAGGCCCTTTTTTTCACATTTTCGCATTTTTTCTGCTGGAAGCTCTCATTGCAGGGTAACGCTGCTTCTGATAAAGCAATGACAATAACAGCGATGATGAGTACAGCATGTACAGCAAGCATGGGCTTGAAGCAAAAACAGCCTTATCAGCCATTTCAGTGGTTTGTCAGCTGTCGATGAGCAGAGGAATAATGAGTTTGTGCAATTAATAAAGGAATAAACTTTGTCGTATGGAGGAAAAGAACTTTTGTGTCAGCATTTCACCACTGTTGACTGACGTTAATGTGCAGTTTGTGCTTTAAAGTTGCTGATACAGCCACTTTCAGAGGAACAGTTTTCATTTTCTCCCACAAAAGCTGTCAGTATCTGAGAGAGCGAGTGCTCGGCAAGGAGTCGATGTTCGTGAAAAACGTCTAAAGTGGCGCTGCAGACCATGACGACCCAGCGGGTCCCCCTGCCGGCATGTACACATGTTTAGCTTTTTGCTAGCTAGTTTATTGTTAGCAAACTGTTTCAACATCTCCAGCTAACATGGCTAATCTAATGTTTTGGTTATAGTTATTTTCACTTATCCATTGATTTATCACACTGAAGACGTTAGCTGACGTTATTGTACTCTGATAGCTGTAAAGGAATTTCTCCACGAATCATTTATATCCTGCCCTGTGTTGGACTGGTGACCTGTCCAGGGTGTATCCTGCCTTCCACCCAGTGACTGCTCCAGCTCCCCCTGCGACCCAGAAGGATAAGCGGCTTAGAAAATCATTTATATCCTTTATTTAGTTTGGACTCCCACATTGTTGTGTGTTTGGTTCTCCAACCGTTCTAGACACTTCCTCAAATTTCAGTCTTAGCAACTATGACAAAAAAAGGTGAGATACCTTTCTGTGGTCGCTGAAGTGATAAGAACGCCTGTAGTTCTGAGGTTAGTAACTGTCCGAAAGGCAATCGCGGAACCTGTGTTACCCAGCGTTTACACCCTTCCGTTTCTAGTGAAAAGGGCATATTACTCTGATAAACACAACAACAGATGCAGCAGCATATTTTTAACTGCTCCGAAAGCCACTTTGCGTGGCCACACCCCCTAAACTCCTCACAGCAGTGCAGAGCCTGTGGCGAATGCCCACATGTATCCACCTATTCGGCCTACAGCAGTTAAGCTCTGCCCCTTTTACGGTGAAGGTATAGGAGGCGTTTCATCCCAGACTGCTTTTTGGATGAGGCACAATAGCGCAGCCAATCAGAACAGAGCTCATTTACATAAATCAGTCTATAAAGGACAGTAAGAAACCAGTGTGTTTGATTCTATGGAATAAAACGGTCATGTAAAAATGAATTATGACTGTTTTTGGTCCATGAAACCACACAAACGTCATCAGTGGTTCTCAGAATGAACAAGTTTTAGATATGGGTTTCTGTACAGTGACTCAAAAGAATACAAAATCAACAAACAAAATATCTTAGTTTCATTTAAGATGGTAGAATAATGTGGTTGTTACTTTCCTAAAACACTGGCTGCTTAAGCTGTATCACTGCAGTATATGAGGAAGCTTCTACTGCGCAAGGTAAGCTGTGTTTATCGATGATGTAAAATGGTTTTACGGGATCAATTAAAACACTTGACTTTCTTGTTTATTATAAAATAGATAAAACTAGCAGGGTAGCTTTTATGTGAACCGCACTGAGTTTTATAGGAAAATCTATGTGTGCTGTTGTCTCTCATAGTCAGCCAGTCCCGGGGCGGCCTCATTCAGCTTTTCCATGAGAGCAGGATCAAAGGTTTGGTAACGTGTCTCTGTGTGCTTTATTGCATAAGGCTTTTCCACTGTGGAATTGATCCATCCAGGATTCACTTAGTTGCTGTTTGTTTTAGTGAATAGCTTAAATCTCTTGAACGGGGAGTTCTGCCCATAATAATCACTTTACAGTTTACTGTATTTTCAAATCATGCTGATCTTAATCACACAGCGAGCCATACGTTATTAGACACTGCCAGTTTTTGTTGTCGATTGTACGGTCATCCTACAGGTTTTTCTATTTTTCTTATAACACTCTGTTTGGAATGTTTCTCTGAAAAACCTCCGTTTGGACGGCCGTGCAGCCCTAACACCTCACTCTACCCCTCTATCTCAACAAAAATTGGGACACCGTACTCCTAGACGTGAACACGCAAAACGGAGGGCTAAGGGCTAAGTGGTAGGGGTGAAGGGTGTAATGGGATTGGGCCTAAAGGCCTAGCTGTAATAGATGTGGTTCTCCACTGGTCTTATGTGTACGTGTATTTGTATGTGAGAGCTGTGTGTGAGTTTAATCTCACGTATGCATTTTAGTGTACGTTGGGTCCACTCTCCATTGGATTTGCAGACCATCTTGCGGGAGCCTCCAGAGGGTGTGTATCCTTGGCTACAGCTCAGAATAATCTCCGTCCCAGGCTCGAAAAAATACTGCCCCCCAACGAGCTCTGATCCATCCTGAGGAGGAGGGCGCTCACAAACTGAAACACACACACACACACACACACACACACACACACACACGCACATGACCATCGTTCACAGATTAGTTATCAAGGAACAAAAATGGAAAATGAAAATAAGCAATAATGTATATCAGTAAGCTTATTTATAGGCTTTAACTATTTTGCATTTAATCCACTGTACTGGATCATTCTACACTCATTACTTGTTCCCTTATGTTTTAGTCTCAAAGCTTTTAGTCTCCTAGTTTTTTAATCTTCCTGTTAAAATCACTTAATTCACTTAACACGCAAATCTTGATTTCTGAATATACTCAAGGTTTGAGTATATATGCCTACACTCAAAAAAGTGTACTGTCATACAAATTTGCAATCTGTCATCTTTATATTTTATTTTTATTTATATCTTAGGTTGTGCCGTTTTGCTAAAAGTGAGATTAGTGACCATTTCCGTGCGGCACAATATTTAAGTCACCTATAGTTTATCATTCTGTTTCATAAAACAGTTTTGTGTTTATTGTTAAATTCTGGTTAAAAAGTCTTGTTAAAATTACTTTTCTCTGTTCTTTATTTAATTATACATCTTTAATTAACAACAAGTAATTCAAAAGTAAAGCAGATTACATTACTTTAATATCACAATCCTTTTGGATTAGATTACAATTACACTTTTTAACAGGTAATCAGTAATCTGTAACAGAATACATTTTTAATGTAAGCAGAAGAAAAGGGAAAATATTTTGTTCCTAATCATAGCATCTATGAACTGAACTGGATCGAGTGTTATTCATTTGTAACTGTTATTTCATTTTAAATTAGCTGACATTCTTACGCGATTTTGTACTTGCTGTTGGTTGTGTTTCCTGGAGAAAATCGTTCATTTCCGGTGTTTGTTTTTGTTCCTTGCACTTTATCTAATCTCTGCCAGCAGCATTGTCAGCTTTCGCACAGGAGCAAAACCAATGTGTACACATCCTGTTCTTAGCAGTAATAAGTAATAGGCCTCCTGTAGATTAACTTCTCATGACCAATATTTGATCCTGGGTCTTTGGACTGTGAGTCCAGGGGGGTTACAAGTAAAGCTAAAGGTTTACCAGGCACACCACCAAACCAGACTTCCTCCTGAACACTGACAAATGAGCATAACAGGAGTGCGGTTTCTCCCCACAACCTATTCTGCTCTAACCAGCAGCCGTGCTAACTGTTCTCAATGCACTATAGTTGTTGCTTTATTCTGAATGTTCCAGTGCAGCAGCTCATACACTCATCTCAGTTTCCAGACATCAATAAGGCCTACAGCATAAACAGCCATGGCAGTCAGTCTTTCCACTTCAAATGCAGCCAGTCATTTTTGTATGACTGTCTTTGGCCTGATTCACTCGTGCTACCTTTGCATAGTGTGAGAGATGCGGGAGTGTGAGCGCTACAGCTCAAATGCGCTGGACTTTCATTCATACAGCGTTTGTGCTGTGGAGCAGCAAGAAAGTTATACAGACATTCCTTTTTCCATACGGATTAATGGTCACATCAGTCACTCTGCTCAACAGAAACGTCATTTATAAAAGTGCACGGTATATTTGTTTATCCTCGACAGAATTCTCACTTGTGATTAACAATGTTAATAACCTTGTTTGATAATTCACTTCTTATTACTTCTTTATTTGAGTTCCTTGCTGTCCCTTTGCTGCTGCAGCACTGTGAATTTCCCCATTGTGGGACTAATAAAGGATTATCTTATCTTTTCTTATTAGGCAAAAGTTTCAAGCCTGGTAGACCTACTGGGAAATCTGTTTGCAGCACAGAATGTTGAACTAGCATTTCTTTGTGAATTAAATTAAATTGAAAATGTTTGTATGTAAGTTTTTTTTGTTTAATTTTCATTGATTTTAATGGCTTATTTCAGTGTATAATTTGCTGCATGACGTGCACGAGTCTGTTCTCTCTGTGCAGCGTCTGGGACATGTTGCCACTTTCCACACAGCCTGTGTGAAAGTGCTGACCAGTTAACATGGAAATTGAAATAGAAAGCAAGACTTTATGAGTCACTCGCGTCATGCAGAAGCAGCCCAGCAGCGTAGCAGTCAAGTGGTGTAGCGTAGCAGCTTAGTAGCATAGCAGCTTAGTAGCCTAGCAGCTAGCAGGCCAGCGGCATAGCAGTCCAGTGGCATAGCGTAGCAGTGTAGCAGCCCAGCAGCGTAGTGTAGCAGCCCGGTGGCACAGCACAGCAGCCCAGCGGCATAGCAGTCCAGCGGCATAGCAGCCCAGTGGCATAGCATAGCAGTGTAGCAGCATAGCAGCCCAGCGGTGTAGCAGTCCAGTGGCATAGCATAGCAGCATAGCAGCACAGTGGCATAGCGTAGCAGTGTAGCAGCATAGCAGCCCAGCGGCATAGCAGCCCAGCGGCATAGCAGCCCTGTGGCATAGCGTAGCAGTGTAGCAGCATAGCAGCCCAGCGGCGTAGCATAGCAGCCTTGTGTAAAGCTCAGCACCTCAGCCCCATGACATCTAAGGCCTTAGTATTGCCTCTATCATCAAACTATCACAAGTTTGATCCCTGTCGATGCCACTGCCATCCTTTGCAAGGAGTCATAAATGGGGGAGACGGAAGTAGGACCCCCCCCTATCATTCAGAGCCAACATGGCAACATGCTAGCTGACATAACCGAATTAGCAGTTTGTGTTCTCCTCCAAGTGTGTTAAACTGTCCAATGGTGTTTACATGCAGTGGAGCTTTACGTGCCTTGGAGGTGGTGCATGATAGCCTTCACCTTCCCAGCTTGGTAGCATTGGAGAAAAATCCGAAGGAAAAAAATGACGTGATGAGGTGCGAGTAACTTCCTTCTTCTTTCGTGCAATTATGCTCTTCTCAATTTCACAGTCAAATTGCACTGAATCTAAACCTTTGCTTTGGCTACAACTGCTGACTACCACTATTTGGGTTTTAGGGCCCCAACAGCATCATATGAGTGCAGCACTGCAACCATAAGAACCGAAAAGTGGCCAAAAATGTGTAAATTAGACAAAATTATATCACAAGTTATGTTTGTTACCACTCTAAATGCTAAGTCACATAATCTGCTGTAATAAAATATGTTACTTAGTGCAAAAATCTCAATGCAATAAACCTCTGTGCAAAAGTCAGAGACCACCTTTCATTTATTTAGTTTCCAGACAAATCTGCAATCAAGTTCAAGTTATTCATTTTTCAATGTCAGGAGAAACTTACATTTCGCAGAAGCCTCAAAACATATTCTTTTCAGTATTTTATTACAGCATCCTTTTTTTTCAGAAGACTCACTTTCAGATTTTCTAAGAAATCAAGAAATCTGCAAGAATGTTTTTCCACACCTCCAAAGTTCAGTCTGAGAAGTTCGTTGATCATTTTCTTAAGTAATCTAAACACAATCAGTGATGTTGAGGTCTGGACAGTCCATTGTTCATCTTCTTTGTTTGATGTGTCTGTCTCCTTTTCTCAGTGAGGCGTCTTGAACAGCTACACATCTTTTCAGACCCATAGTGCTGAGTTGTCTTCTCACAGTGGAAGGATGGACAGAAACACCTGTGAATGTTTTCAGATCTGAAGCAGCTTGATTTCCTCCTCTCTCTCAAAGATGAAAGCTTTAAGTGCTGTTTATCTGATGGGGACAGTGTTGGTGGTCTACCAGGTCTTGCAGATGGTTGTGGTTGTTGTGGAATCTCATTTTCAATATCAATATCATTCAGTATCTTTTAACATCCCCTGAAAAATGAATAACTTCGTACTTATTCGCTGTTTTGACTGGAAATGAAATAAATGAAGGGTGGTCTCCGACATTTGCATAGTACTGTATATTGCAATGTATTATCTGACTGGCTTCTTCCAACACACAAGAGAACAATACTGCTCAACACTTGGGCTTTAATTTCCATCTGATAGTAAAACTGGAATGTTGAGGGCAGTCATGTGTTCTTATATCTCACTTTCCTCTCAAAACTATAAAGATATTTGTTAAATGATGATTTTTTGCTGACTATGTTGCTCATTTGTAATTCACTCAGTAACACATGGATGTGATGTCATTGCACTGCTTTTACGCTTGCAAAATGTAATACACCCCACAGAAGCTTATAGGGAGGTCATTTTTAGGCTTTATCTTAGTTCATATGCCTCCAAATTCCCTCTTATTTTAAAACAGTTCTACAGCAAAACAAAGAGCCATTGTTATCTAAAGTGGGCATCTCCAGCTTATCTGACAGATGATTCTGCAAAGGCGTAATGTGACAGCAAAGCAGCACAGCAGAAGGTGGTCAAGAAACCGTGGCAGAGTGATGGTGAATATGAGGAGGCATTGCCAGAGCTGCTGGCAAGCCACTTGAATATACAAGGACTATGAATCATTACTTTTGGTGTAAAGAAATTATTTGGAATATTCTAGTTTCTGGATAAAACCTTTTGTGATAACTAGTGGTAGTGGTAGTGGTTGGTATAGTGTAGTGGGTAACACCTCTGCCTTCTATGCTGCAGACTGGGGTTCCATCCCTGCCTGGGCAAACACCCTACACTATACCAATAAGAGTCCTTGGGCAAGACTCCTAACAGTACCTTTGCCTACCTGTGTAAAATGATCAAATTATAATTTGCTTTGGATAAGATCATCTGCCAAATGCCATAAATGTAAATGTAGTACAGTGATATACCCAGTTGGAAGCCTTAAAATTGTATCAATTAAGGGTACAGTGGTACCATCAGTCCTATTTTTTTAGAAACTGATGCTCAGTTCGACGAGTTTTACAGGACATTTGCAAAAATCTTATTCAAAGGAAAAGAACCTGCAACATGCACATTTGTTAAAATATATACATTTAGAGCGGGTTAGTCATTTGAAATGGGAATTTTTTTGCATGCATTTAAAAGGCCGCACTGTTAGGGTAGACTAAACGTAGTTTTCTTGACATATAACTGAAATAATTAGCATACATTTAGGCATTTAAAAAGTTTTAGAACGGGCCTGTTCAGTAGCGTCTCAGTTTATTTATTT